ATTTCTGTCCTCCAGGTGAGCACCCCTGGACAAGGCACCTGACTGGACCAGGCAGCTCTCTCTGTCTTTACTCTCCAGACTTGGTCAGTGAGAGGCACTAATCTCTGACAGAGCTGGGGAAGGATCTACCAACTTCCCCTGCGTGAGTCCTACGGTCTATATTCAGAAGTGACTATTAAGAAGCCCAATGGCCACGACTTGCTCCAAATCATATCCCCTGACCCAGCATGATCATTGAGGAGACTGAGATATTCCTGTTACATTCTTGTTTCTATTTCCCTATCTGCTACCCACAGGAGGGAAAAGACTATGATTAATTAACATTAGTTTACATACCAGCCCAAGAGAGAAACATGAACATTTAGTTGATAAATGAAGGCAACCAACTCAAAATTGCAACACATTAAGATGCCATTCCAAGCATATGTTTCACATGTACACATCAGTAAACTACACAATTCCATTTATAATAGCCTAACAGTAGATTGTAAGAGGCATAGATTTTTTTTCCCCCTTACGATGACTTTCTTCCTAAAGTAGTTATGTCGAGTTGTATCCCTTTGGCCTCAGACTCACCAGCCCACACACACCTTCCTGAGTCCAATCATCACCAAGCATGCTGGACTGTCCAAGAGAATTCCCAATGCCTAGACTCCCACCTTCCCACCTCCCACCCATCCCCAGTGGCATACTTACTGAGATTTTGATGATCTTGTCAAAAAGGTGTACTTGGGGCCCAATGAAGTCAAAGACAAAGTACTGCAAAACATAGAGTTCATTCTGACCACCAAGCCCAGGGTTGTATCTAAGCTTCTTATTCCCAGAGTGAGTTTAGATCTGCATCATTGGTACCCAATGTTGCCTGGTACCCAATGGCAGAATACAGGTAGTCCCCTGGTCATGAATGATATCGAGTCCTAAGCAGACCATTGAGTCAAATTCTGAGCGACTCATAAAAGGTCCATCTTATTCAGCCTTCCTTAGTGGTGGCATAGTGGTTACACACTGGGCTGCTAACTGAAAGGTTAGCCGTTCAAAACCACCAATGGTTCCTCAGGAGAAAGACAGGGCTTTCTACTCCCATGAAGACTTACAGTCTCGGAAACTCCCAGGGGAAATTCTACCTTATTCTACCGGGACACTAAGTAAGCACTGACTAGATGCCAGTGAGTTTTGTGGGCCTTTTTTTTTTTTGGTTAGTGGTAGTGTAGTGTAGTGTAGTAATTTACCCATTGGGTTGCTAATGGAAGGGTCAGCAATTTGAAACCACTAACTGCTCCAAGGGTTTTCTACTCCGTGGGAGGGGGGGAGCAACCCTCTTTCAGAAGTTACCATACAATGGGTTCAAATAGTAGATACTACACAATCTGACTTTTAAGTCTTATGTCTCCCAACTGTGAGGTTGTCTGACTCTAAGATACAAAAACAACCGTGCTGTTTTGTTGGATTGTACGTTTCGGGAACTGATCTCAGTGGAGTGAAGGAAAGGAAGGACTTGCTTACTGGTGTTTATTTTATTCTTGAGCCTCGTGGTAGAAGAATGAGATCGCATAACAGATTAACATAATGGTAGTAGGAAAGTCTGCTTTTGAAAGGCAAGACAGAAAACTCAAAATGTGGAAACAGAAAGCTGTCTATCATCATGCCCTGTAATAACAGAGCTACCAAACAGGGTCTTTGATATCAAGGATGGGAAAACTTTGTTCAGTGTCTTCTGTTTATGAAAATAGGAAATATGTGTAACCGTTTAGAGAGTCTTTATTCTGTACATTAAAACTTTTACAAGTTTGGAGTTCAAAGAGTCTTTACCCTTTGATGAAAAACTCATTTACGAAAAGTTCTTTAATCCTTGATAAGGCTTAATGTACAAGATGCTGTGGGATCCTTGGGATGGATAAATTCATTCCAATATTTTGTATTTATCGTCTTCTATTGAGATTCATAAGGAGTCCTGGTGGCATAGTGGTTATGCATGGGGGTACCAACCACAAGGTCAGTACTTTGAAACCACCAGTAGTGCTCCACAGGAGAAAGATGAGGCTTTCTATTCATGTAAAGATTTACAGTCGAGAGTCCTGGTGGTATAGTGGTTACACACTGGGATGCTAATTACAAAGATTTGCAGTCTCAGAAACTCACAGGGACGGTTCTATCCTGTCCTATAGATTTTCGATGCGTCAGCATTGACTCAATAGCAGGGAGTTTGGTTTATTGAGATTTATATGGTTCCACCCCATCTGCCTCCCACAGGCTCCCTGTCCTTCTGGGCCTGTAGTCTGAGCTGCCCTCGATTCTCCAGACCCTCCTACCTGGTGCCTTCCACACCAGATGATCTATGGGCTTGAAAATTAGGGTGAAAACTCTAACAAGGGATTTTGGTTCTAGTTCTATTTTTCAACTTAATTTCCTACGCAATCTCACTTGGGTCCAATTTAACGTCATATATATGCAAGGCGTGTGTGCATAAAGCAAACACCAATTGTAATAATTAACAAATCAGTAGCGCTTTGCAGTTTGAAGGCATTTTTATCTACAGGATTTCAGTTGGTCCCCCTGGGTGCCGAAAGATGTTTCAAGGGAAGAAACAGAAGGTGAAAAGGCAAAAAAGAGCTCCCATACTTCATTGTTGATGCTCCATTCTGACTCACTTTCGCTCCTAGTAAAAGGGGGGAGGGGAGTAGGCAGGAGTGACATGATGAGCACTTCAAAACCACCAGCAGATGCTCAGGAGAAAGACTGGGCCTTCTACTCCCGCACACAGTTACAGTCTCCAAAACCCACAAGGGTTGCTGTGAGTGAGCGTTGACTTATTGGCAGTGAGTTCTGAGTTGATGAGTTGGTTCTG